GGCGGGCCGGGGGCAACATCAGGATGTCTTGCTGTGTGAGTACCTGAAGGGTGTTTCTTTTGTTTGTTTTTTTCTGCCCGAGCCTGTGAAATCGGGATGAGAAACTAGGAGTCGGAGAGCCTGGCCGGTGTGGCTCGATGGTTGGGTGTCATCCCAGGCACCAAGAGGTCACGGGTTCGATTCCCGGTCAGGGCACCTGCCCGGGTTGCAGGCTCCATCCCCAGTAGGGAGCGTGCAGGAGGCAGCCGATCAGTGTTTCTCTGTCATCATTGGTGTTTCTGTCTCTCTCTCCCTCTCTCTTCCTCTCTCTCTAAGAAAAGCAATAAAAACATATTTTAAAAATTACTTAAAAAATAATAAAAAAGAAACTAAGAGTCATCGAGATGGCAGTGCCTGGTGGGGGGCCTGTGCCCGGCACAGAGCCATAGTTTCTGACTTGCTCGGTTCCCCTTGTCACCAGAGGGATGACCTTGTCCAGCAAGCTTGACCACGGCCAGCAGCCCAGGTCCGGAGCAGAGATAACGAGCTCCCAAGGGGCTCAGCCTGCGACCTGGGGCTCCCCCTCCAAGGCCCCGAATCAGCGGCTGCGTAAGGGGTGGACGTATCGCTCTCAGCCGCTTCCCCCCCATACCCCAAAAAAGAATCGGCTTGAAAAGTGCTGCGTGACGGAAAGATAAACAAGTTTGCACAAGGGAGCCACAGAAGTTAATCTGGCCGTGTAAATATTTTCGTGTGCGCGGGATGCTGTGGCTGCCTATTGATTAAATAGAGCAGAGGGGAGGTTGTGGGGCCCTGAGCTGGCCTTGGGGGGAAAGCGGGATCCTTATTAAGAACTGTGGGCCACGCCCCGACGGGTGTGCTCGGCGGTCAGAGCGTCAGCCCGCGCACCTAAGGGTGGCGGGTTCGATTCCCACTCAGGGGCAGGCAGCTGGGCTGCAGGTTTGATCCCCGGCCCCGGTCAGGGTGCGTGCAGGGGGCAGCCGGTCAGTGTGTGTGCGTCTCTCCCCCCACCCCTTCCGCTGTCTCTGAAAATCAAATGGAAAAATATCCTCAGGTGAAGATTAACAAAACACACAGACACACACACACACACACACACGGCTTGTGTGAGTCAGAGCCCAACACTGCTCTCAAGTTCGGGCGCCTACGTGGACTGAGAAGGTCCCAGCCAGGAGCCTGGCCAAGGCCATTCGAGTCTCGGTGGGGAGTGAAGGGAAAGTTTCTCATTCGACATTCCTGACGCCACACGTGGGGTTTCCATTCAGGCAAGTCTCCCGCTCTCTGTGGACACCAACCAGGTGTCTCACACGTCGATCCTGTCTGGACGCCAGTCCCCCCATCCCCTTGGGTCCTCGGCGAGACGTATCACCCGCAGGCCCTGGTCTGCGTGCTTAGGCCCTTCCCGTCTCGGCCTCGTTTTTTGCATCTGTGAAATGGGTCTTACACGCTAACGCTCAGGCTGGCTTCCCATAGCCGGCCCGGGGCTGACCCTCACGGGCCTGGGGACCGACTGACCGGGGGCGGGGGTGGGGAGGAGCGCTTGGCAACCGGGAGACTTTTTATTTATTAATTAACTAAGAGACTGTGATGCCTCAGGACGTAAGAGGAGCTGACAGGTCACGTGGCCCCTGAAAGCACAGGGCTGGTAATCCATTTAAAAAAACATTTTCTCCTTTGTAATTTAATGGAGGAAATCATTAGCTGGGAAATTGGTAGAACTGATTTATTCCCGTTTTGGGGAGGGGGAATGGGAGAGAAAGCCGGCTCTCATCGCCGCTTGTTCTAGAAATATGTCGGCACAATAGTCCCATTAGCTGGGCCTGGCGTGGGCAGGGCAGCCCGTGGAGCCGGGTGAGGGCAGGGGGCTCTTTCTGGGCGCAGGGGGGTGGCCGCGATGTCGGCAGCAGCTGCGCATCTTAGGAAACACGGCAGACCTGCCCAGGCCGGTGGCGGTGTGGCAGGGGCCCCGGCTGCCCGCAAGCCCAGGATCACGCTCACGCCCTCGTTCCCAGGGACGCGGGACCTGGACCGGCTGGGAAAATGGACTACGTGCCTCTCCGACTTCATCCGGTTCCAAGGGGAGGCAACTGGGTTCACCCTAAAAATAACCAAACTTGCAAACAGCTTCAACATGCAAATGTTTCTCGTATCGATAGGGCCACAGCACTTAAAGGTACAGCAGTTTTTCCACCGCCCCGATCTGTTTGTTTCCCCCGCGTGGGAAGGAGCTCTGGGGTGATCTGGGCCCTTCTGGGGTCACCATCTTCCAGCACCCGGCTGAGGTCTGGCTGGGCTTCTGCCCTCCCCGTGGGCGCCTCCTGCCCTGGGGCACCCCAGTCTGGCAGGGGTGAGGCACCTGCGGCTCTCAGTGGGCCCGGGTGCCCCCCGACTCGGGCAGGGTGGCTGGGCTGGAGCACTGTCGCCCCGTCAGGCTCGCGTGTGTGCGCCGAGGGGCTCACCTGACTTTGACTTTCCAAGCTCCTCTGGCCCAGAAACCCGAGTAAATGAGTTTTCAGAGAGGAGGAGCCTATAAATAGCCAGGCAGGATGTGGAGAGGTGAGAAGCAGGGGACCGCCACGGCTGTGGGCCCGCTCTGAGCGGTGGCTGCACCGGGACCCACCCCACCCTGCCAGGTGCCCGTCTCCCCACTCTGTTGGCAGAGTCCTGGCGTCACAGGCCCCTGCTCACCTCCGGCTGTCCTGGCCGCCACGCCCAGCACGGGGCCACCGTGAGGCTCTGGGGCACCCTGTTATGTCCCCTGCTGGGGACTCTGTGTCCGTGTGATAACTCTTCCACAGATGTGCCATGTCTGGGGGGGGAAGTGCACCATCAAGTGGGGGGCTGAGTGTGGTCGCACCCCCTGGACGGCGGGCCTGGGACTCCAGGGCCTTAGGGCAGGGCCACCGTCGCCACCGTCTCTGGGAGTCGTGAGGAGGTGCAGGCCTAGACCCTTGGGGTACTAACCTCTGCAGTGTCTTTGTTCATAAGTTCGTTCACCCCTGAGATCATTCATTCGTATGTTCATTCATTCCTTCCCGCGTTCATTCACTCCTGAGTTCATTTGTTCATTCAGCGCCTGCTGGGCGCCAGGAGCTTCCGGGCCCTGGGGATGCTTCAGTGAATGAACCAACCCAAAGCCCTGCCCTCACGGAGCCCCACTCCTGTGGGAGAGAGACTTTAAAAAACACACGAAAACACAAAACGTGCTACACCGTGGACGAACCTGGAGGACATGAGGCCGCGTGAAACAAGCCAGACACAGACAGACACCGGGTGATTCCGCTCATCGGAGGGGCCCAGAGTCAGATGCACAGAGACAGAAGGTGGGGGGTGGTGGTGTTAGTGTCTCGCGGGACAGTTTCCATGCGGGAAGATGCCAGTTCTGGGGATGGTTGCACAACACTGTGAATGTGCTTAATGCCACTGAACTGGCCACTTAAAAACGGTCGCGATGGCCCATTGGGTGAGGTGTGTATTATACCCCGATTTTAAAAACGAAAAATATAGAAATGAGAGGAAAGGAATGCACAGTGTATTAGATGAGGGTCGGTGCCGGGAAGAGAGCAAGAAAGGGCGGGAGAGGGCCGGGGCTGGGTTAAGGCATTGTCAGGGCGAGGGAGGGAGGCCCGTGGGGTGGGGGAGGAGGCCTAGTGAGAAGGGGCCCGAGCGGAGGCGGCAGGAAGGGGAAGCGCCTCCGGGCAGAGGGGACGCAGGGACCGATGCCCAAGGCAGGCAGGGTGGAGCCTCCAGGCCTTCACTCCGGGTGGGTGCCGCCAGGACACTTTGGGCCAAGGCAGGACGTTTGTGGGTTTGCGAGGGGTCCCTCCGGCCGGCCGTTCTTTGCAGGGTGGGGGTTTGAGGCTGGGTGCCCCGGGCCTGTTCCTGAGCTCAGCGCACACTGGGGTAGGGTTCTCTGCGGTCGTGTTTAAGTTTTTCTGGAGTCCTTGGCTGTCGCTCCCAGATGCCACTTCTCCCTTTGCCACTCGGGCAGGGTGGGGTGTGTGGCGTGACGAGGCGGGATGGCTTGGCCAGCCTTCGGTTCCTGCTGCTGGGGCCTGGAGGCCGCCCCCTAGGCCCCTGCCTGCCCGGCCTGGGAGCTGAGTGCTGAGGGCCCGGGAACTGGGCCTGTCCCAGACTTGCCTCTGGGGGGGTGGGGGAGGCCCCTGCTGGCCAGGTGGGGGGTCGGGCCGGGCTTCAGCCCCACCTGTTGTCTGCCCAGCCCTGTGTCTTCCAGCTGTTCCTGGGTTTCTGCATCTGCAAAGGGAGAGGGTGGGACTGGGACCCGGTCTGGATTCCAGTTTCTGCCGGGAGCTCAAGCAGCTCTGTGCGTGAGGGAAGGTCCCCCTGAGCACCCCCCACCACCCAGCCGGGGCCCAGCGCCCTCTGCACACCCCACGGCCCCTTCCACCCACCCCGGCTGCCACTTTAGGACGGGGGAGGGTCTGTTCTAATCCTATAGCTCCCGCCCAGATATTCCAGGGGTGACCTCAGGAGTTGCTGGGGGAAACAGCAAGCGATGGGGTTCTAGAACGGGTGTCAGGGGCCAGTTGGGGCAGGAGGAGCGGCCAGTGGCTCGGGGACCGGTCATTATGGCACCCATGGAGCCCACTCACCAGCTGGAGCCCCCTGTGTTCCCCGAGAGCCCGACCACCTGCCCTCTGTCCTTCTAGAAGGGGCCTCGGGGGCGAGGCCACAGACAAGCCCTCTCCACCCCGAGGACACCCCGAGGACACTGTGGGGTAAGTCGGGGGAGGAAGGGGCCAGGAAAGAAGACCGAGGGGCTTGGCGCTTGGCCGGGGCCCTGGGTCCCACACGCCTGTCTCATCCAGTCCTCAGAGCTGCTCTGTCTGGGACAATCACCACTCACCCCATACGACTGTTTAATTTTAAATTAAATTGAAATAAACTTAATAATCGCGTTTCCAAGTCACACAGTCACATTCCAGGTGCTCAGTGGCCACGTGGGGTGAGTGGCGGCCAAGCTGGACAGCGCAGGCGTAGAAACATCCATCGGCGCAGGGAGTTCCGTGGGACAGAGTTGGTCCCCACTCGAGCAGCCCCACGAGGTTGAGGCTGTTGCCCCATTTCACAGATGGATAAGCTGTGGCTCTGAGAGCAGAAATGGCCTGCTGGTCGTGCAGCCAGGGAATGTCAGAGGGCGCAGGACACAGGTCCGGTGGGTCTCAGGGCGTGGATGTGGGGCTGGTGCGGGCGCCGTGTCCAGCGGCCCAGCGGCTACTTCTCAGGACAGAGGGGCCTAAGGCCCACCCGTCGCCCACCCACATGCCCTGGGACCTCCGCCTCCTCCAGGAGCCCTCCTGTGCTCAGTGACGCTTTATTGCAAAGGCAAAGCAGGGGTTAACATTCAGTTGGGGCCTCCAGGGGCCTGCACCTTGGAGACCAAATCCCTTAGGAGAGACTCAGGGAAACTGCCAGGAGCCTTGGCCAGACAAGGATCCCGGCCCAGGGGCTCCATCCACTTGGGGGGCCGGGTGTGGCTGGGAGAGCTCAGCCCACCCTCCCCCGCCTCCTGCATAGGTGGCTCTGGGCATTGGTGTTCTCCTGTCGGTGGGCACCCCTGCCCTCCTCAGGGTGGCAAACGTGGCAGACCCTACTGAGGAATTGGGACTCAGGGCTCAGCCACACTGATTTTGAGAAGTGGGGAGGCAGGTGGGGGTCAGAACCGGCTCCCGGACACCAGGGCCCAGCTGCTTCCCGGGCTGGCTGTCGGGAGGGGCCCTGCCGTCCTTAGGCCTGGCCCTCTGGGAGGCTGATGGGGCACCCTGAGCCCCGCGAAAGCCCTGCGGTCCCTGCCCCGCTGCCCGGCGCGGAGCTGCTCTTTGCCCCGCCGAGACGCAGGTCCCCTCACGGCCTGGCCCCGCGGCCCGGAGGCCCGGCTTGGGGGCGGCTGCTCCGGCAGGAGGGTGGGGATGGGCTCTGCTGCCGCCTTCCCCCTGGCATATGGCTCCGCCGCCCGCCTCGGGCTGTGCCAGCGGCTCCCCCTTCTCCATGGCAACTTCGCTCAGTGGTCCCAGTGGAGGAGAGAGAATCAATTCTCCCTCTTCCCTCCCTCCCTCCCTCTCCCCACCCCTTCCTCTTGGCCTCCTGCCTCTTTCATCCCTGCCGGGCTCCCGGCTCTTCCCTCCTCAGCCGGCTGTCCGTCAGTCCATCCAGGGGACCTCCCGCAGCGCCCTGAGGCCGAGGGCGCCGGGACCTCCGAGGAGGAGGACCTCCGGGGACATGGGGACCAGCTCCTGCGGCGTGGGGTTCCCGGCGGCTCTCACACTCTGTGCCCCTCGTCCCCCCTGCTTGCATTTTCCTCCCGAAAGGTAATTTTCTGCTCTAACCGTCACAGCCTGAGGAGGGCTGATTAGGCAGGAAGGCTCTGTCCCGGTCACGTGGGCCGCTGGTTTCCTCTGAGTCGCTGGGTTGGAGGGAGAGGCGAGGAGAGGCCGAGTTTGGGGGCCCAGGGTCTCCTCCGGGGCTGTTGTGAGTAGCGGGCCTCGGGCCTCCCGGTCGGTGCGTGGGCACCGCTGTGGGCGCCCGTCCATTTTCCAGTGTAATCGCCGCTCCCTGGGGACAGCCGGCCTTCCTCGCCCGAGGTCTGCGGGGAGGGGGCAGGCAGAGGCAGGCCCATGCACCCCACATGGGGCTGGGCCCGGGTGCAGGGCTCCCCGCCTAACCCCTCTCACCCGACAGCGGGGGACCGTTTCGTCCCGTAACCAAGACTTCCCCAGGAGACGGTTTAGGTGGATCTTGGACCGGCCGGTTCCGGGCAGAGCGGTCCCGCCGGCACGGTCCGCTGGGCAGTCCCTCGGCAGAGTTTGTCCACAGGCTGGCTTTTAAGGCGGCTGCCCAGTGGGCGGACATTGTCCGTCGCCCCTGCCCCACCTCCCGGGTGCGGGTCAGGATGGCTTCCCTGGAGGGAGCGCATGAAGTTAGCTGCGGGCGCCGTCCCCGGGCCGTCGCCAGGTCTGCAGCCCCTCCCCGTTACCGCTCTGCCTCCTGCGCCCCGTGGATGGAAAGTACAGCCCCTCCCTGTGCACGGAGCACCCCCCGTGTGGATGGGAAGCCAGGCCCCAAAGGCACGGGCTCAACACCCAGTTCTTAGAAGCCGAGGGTTCCACACCGCGTCTGAGAGGAAGCCCCGTGCGGTCTTTAAATAGACCGAGGACGCCGAGCGCCCCGTCTGACTCACAGGGAAGTTCAGAGCCGGTCGCAGGTATCAGAGAAAACAGCTCCCGGCTGCGGGCGCGGGACCCAACCTGGGGGGCAGAAATGGCAGGGGCGCCTAGCCACGCAGGTACGCGGCTGGGAGGCAGGCTCGCGGGCGGCCAGCCGGACTCCGCGTCGCCTTCTGGGGTGGCCCCTGACAGGCCGTTTTCATAACAGATTCGGCCTTGACGGTGCCCCGGGGCTGGGCTCCCCCGCTGCTGCTGGGGGCTGGGCCGGGCCCCTTTCAACTGTCCTTGCCCCGAAGCCGCCTGGGACCCTGGATTCCCTCCGCGCTTCCTTTGATGATCCGATCAGTTCCTGTTGGGCGGGTAGGAGCGAAGCTTTTGTGTCTGCAGACGGGCCACGCCGCGCCTTGTTTTTCCTCGGCTCCGAGCCTGGAGTCTGTCACCGCGACCCTCCCGGCATCCGGCCGCTGTGCAGGCTTCTTAATGACATTACCCGCGCCTGGCCTCGCGGGTGGCTGCGCCGTACA